CCCTGCCCCCGCCCCCGATCCCACAGACCCTGCAGTCAACAAGGCGAGCAGATGCAAAGTCTATGGCCAGCACACCGAAAAAGGCCCTGCTGGACACCTTCTGTCCTCCCAGACCCTTGGCTGCAGCTTCACCAGAGGCCTTCTGGCCACCCCCAGGGATCTGAGCTGAGGTGGTCAAGGCCAGCCTCACCTGGGGCTCTCAGGTTGACCTCCCTCATGGACTTCCCTTCCATCTGTCCCGAGGCCCAGGAACCCTTAGGGAAGGAAGGAGGAAGAGGGGAGAAGAAGCTGGGAAGGCCCACTGAGGGGAAGCCAGCACAAGCTGGGTGTCGGAGGGGGGTGGCCCTCTGGGTCGGCACACGCCCTGTCCCTCCTGAACGGAGGAGACTCTGAGCCTGCGCTGACTGCCCAAACAACACACCTGAACAGCAGCATCAAGGCTTGCAAAAACGTCCTGAAGGTATTGCGCCGGTTGATGCTGGTGTCATCATCCAGGGCAATATTTCCAAAAACCTGAAATGAGAAAGAATGCTGCAGGCTGGTCCTGTTGGGTCCTCAGGAGCTGTGGCCAGGCAGAAGAGGATGTCTGCACGTGAGGACCCACAAGGCACAGGACGCTGCCCTTAGCCACCACCACTGTGGCAGGGGCTAGAGGGGCCAGCACTTCCAGCCAAACATGTCACTGCCCACCCCCCGCCCAGCTCCGCATGTCTACACCTGCAAGTCCGCATGCTGAGTAAAAATGCCACCCGGAGCTAAGTTTACATGGGCTGTGCTATATATAAGACAGGAAGCATTTGAAATTTCACCTTGTCATCAATGACTCCGAAGCAATAATTTTATTGGTAATAGCTATGAGGTCAACTTGAAAGTTTCTTTCTAAATTTCTGTGCAAATATCACAATGGGCTTTTTATCCATTTTAATTGATTTATTTTTAGGGTTAGGAATGCAAACAAGTCAGTAACTGTACTTGGCTTAAAATCTGGAATCTGGCTGAAAAATTTATGAACTATCACATATTCACCAAAAACAAAGATCAGTGACCCTTCTGGTCTTATAAATTCCCAAACCAAAGCAGGCACAAATATATATATATTTTTAAATAGCATCAGATCTCAGCAAATTTTAAAGGAAGAGAACCTTTTCAATCCCTGAAGTAGAGTTTAAAAATCACTTTTCAGCTAATCTTTAAGACAATGGCTTCTCCCACTATAATTTAACATTTAGATCCATCTCCCATCCTACTGCTGAAAAGTGGCCAGATGCCAAAGATTTAAAACTGGAACACTGCTTTGTCTTTTAAATGTTTTTCCAAGTAGCTGACAAAGGGTTCTTTGGCAAAATAAAGGCAATCTAACTTATCCAAGCTGAACTTGACAGTACAGTGATCTGGTGTGATCCTGTTGACTTTTTTCTTCTGTAATATATAACTTCCTGTAAAGGATCAGGTCAACTCTCTGGACTAACAGAATGACCAGCGGGTACTTTGCAGGCCACTCAGCACCAGGCAGATGTGCTCAAAAGCTCCACCACCGAATCAAACATGCCCATCAACATCCTAACAGCCCAATGGGGTTCCACTCAGGAGCACAGCAGAGCATTTTCCTACAGACGGTGGAGCTACGCCTCACTAGTGGACTCTGGGTGACAGGCCCAAACCCGTGGTGCTCAGCCTCCATGTCCTTATCGGTAGAACAGCCTTTCCGAGAATTAAGTTCATAAAGTGCTTCAAACATAGAAATGTTCCCCAAGTGCCAATCTGTCATTGATACCATTTGATGACCACGATCAGTGCCCTTTTGGCCCAGGGCACAGGGCCCCTTCTGCTCCCTGTCCCATCAGACGCACCCACCTGCATGCCGATGGTGGCGTAGATGAAGAACAGTATGGTGATGAGCAGACACATGTAGGGCAGGGCCTGTGGAGACATACAGAGGACAGGGCGGCTCCAGGGAGGGCTGCCCAGCTACATTGCTCAGGCCTCGTCTGTAGAGTGGACGGTGGCCGGGTCTCTGGGGCCACCCAGACCCCAGTGACCGTAAATCCACCCCCACTGACCATGAAGCCCCTCCACCAAGAGACCACCTCAGTTCCTTCGTCTATAATCAGTCATAGAACCCACCTCAGAGTCAGTGAGCATTACCAAGATGCTCTCTGGATCACTTAAAATGTCTTTGTAAACTACAATAGGATAACGGGTGCCAACAAGGAGCCTCCACGAGGAGGGGCTGCTCTGGTGGCGAGGAGGAGGTGGTGGCCACAGCACTGTGCATCACACAGGGGACGGTCAGGGCACGAGGGCCGTGCCTGGGCTTCACCTTGAAGGACTGGACGAAGGTCCACAGCAGGATGCGGATGGTGTAGCCTCGGTGCAGCAGCTTGATGAGCCGGGCAGCACGGAAGAGGCGGAGAAAGCTGAGGTTGATGAAATTGTTCTGTAGGGAAGAGAGGCTGTTCTCTAACCTGCGGAGACCAGCCTCCTACAACTGCAGGTGCTGCTCCCCACCCACCTCTCCCTGGCGTGCTGTGGTCCTAAAGAAAAGTGCATACAAAGAGAGATCGAACAAAACATCACTGCTCTACGATATAAGCAGCAATCGGCCACCAGAAAACCTTCCAAAAGTAAAGCTTGTCATTGCAAATCACTTCTCATGCAGCAAATCAAAGAAACCCCTCCGCTTTAGGCTCCCCTGCACCCAACAGGGTGGGGAGAGAGAGAAAAATTCTCAGAAGCAGCTCCTTGCTGCCAGGTGGAGCCAGGAGACGAACTGTAGATGGGCCTCTAACACTGACTGCCTCTTGCAAGACACAGCCAAGCC